TATATATATATTTATATAATATTTATGACTTCAATTTATGACTATACATACATAGTTATAAATAAGTGTTAGGGTTTTTTTAAAAATAGTGTTTTATGTAGTGATGTGATAATGACTATATATGCGTGTATATATATATATATATGTAGATATATGCTTGAGTAATTTTTTTAAAACTCAACTATTAACCAAGCTGATAGAAGAAATTTGGTCGATTATATTTTAGATAGTGAATAATGTTTGGTTCATTCACTTCAATGTTGTGCAAGTTTCAATTTTTCATTCTTTAAAATTTTATTCAATCGAAGTTGGTAGAAATGACTTATGCCATTCCTATTTATAAAAACAAATTCGCAACCTAACCACAATGGAGCAACAAACAATAACAACATGATTAACATTCCAGAAGGAATTTGGAAAAGTAAATTAATCATATAGAAATAACAACTTATTTCAATGTTATTGATTCTTGTAGTTTTAATATATTTTATTACTATCTGACCATATGTCTATTGATGATTAATTATGATTTACTAGAATGACCTAAAAAAATATTTATAAGTATATAGATTTAGATAATCATGATCGACTATTGACGTTATAATATTATATAAGACTATCATCAAACACTTTGGTGATAAAGTTGACTACAAATCTGTATAATCAATCACTTCTTCTATGTCAACAGTTGCAACAATTTATGTCTTGTTATCTTAGAGGACCATTGAAGAAGTTATGAGTTTTTCTTTCTCCATCTTGAAGAAGTTGGGAGTTTCTCTTTCTCCATCTATGGCTTGGCGAAGTAGCTTAATTTTCATAGTTGTATTAAACTCACATATTGAGCCAATTTGGTAAGAGAAAGTAGTTTAGATATTAAAAGAATTATAAAAAAAAAAAAAGAACTCGATGACTAGAAGTTAGATTTTATTTCTTAATAAGGAATGTGAATCTCTCCTTGGATGTGATTAAGATTTGATTGAAAGTTAACTCCAAAGATGCGTATTATTCAATCATATGGGAGAATCAATTAATTCCAAAAATAAGAACTTAGTATAAGATGCAAGCGGATGAAATTAAGCTGAATATGTATATATTTGAGCCAAATTAATTTATATATTTTTTGCACATGACAAGAAAGCGATAGGAAGAAATAAAGGAGGTTCCTTGGTAGAACAGGAACGTAATTCGCTATACATATTATATATGTGTGTGTATATATATATATATATATATACTGCATGCATGCTTATTCCTGTGATCCTCCTTGCAAAAACAAAAGATATAATTATTTTGGCTTTTTAGGTCACGTATTGGGTGGTCTCCCCAATCAAACTATGCACCACACTCTTCCCTTGTCCTTCTGCACGTATAAAGCTCTTCTCTTTTCGCTTTACACACACATATATATTCCTTCTGTAATAATTATTTTAATAAATTACTGTGAGGTGAGTTGATGGATATTCCCTTTCATAACCATCTGCAGAGTGGTACTGAATTTTATTGTTCCCTTTTATTTATTTTTTTAAACTTCTGATTTATAACATTTATATATAAAATTTGAAAATAAATAAATTATTTTTGAGTACTTTCACCTCTTTTTATGAAAGTATATTCCATCTTTGGACAATATATTCTATATGTTTTTGTCAAAAAAAAAAAAAAAAAAAACTTGATACAGCAAAATAATTTTTCCAGGCTTAAATTGCAAAGTAAACTTCAATGAATTAGAGTATGGTTTGATTTTCATTAAAGAAAACGATTTGTTTTCATGAAATCGTAAATTAAACCAGATTCGTATATACTGTAAGGAAGGAAATGATTGTTGGTATTTGTTGATTGATTGAAGAAGCCTAAAAAAGGAGAGTGATATAGCAGTCAATTTATGTTGCAAGAAGAGCCTGAATGACTGCGGTGGTGAAACATCATCCTCATAATTATTTGAACTACAACCCAGGTCTACATTTATTAGAGCAGTTTGTGGCATTTATGCCACTCTGGTCCTCTTTATATTTATATTCCAATTCTGACCTTAAAGAAAGGGCATCTAATCTCCCTCTCCTAAATTTATTTATTTATTTTATTAAATGCTAATATATATATATACACACACACATACATGCATGGGTTTAAGTCGTACATAATCAAGAGTTTTTGGAAGGAGATATAATCATGAAAACCAGAAAGGCCCAGAAAGAAACAAAGCCAAAATTGTCACTAATATCTCGTGTTACCGTCCAACACGTGACATGAAAATGAAAACCATCCATCTTTTTCGTTAATCCACCCTACCATCATTTATAAATAATTCCCAAATATCTACCTCATATTATATATTTTATATATATTGTAATGTAAAAATGATTTTGTTTTGAGTTTTGACGAGGAGTGTAGTTTGGTCATTTTGTGGTTTGAAACTGAGAACGGTCATTGCTGGCAGGAGACATAAATCCAGAGCCGGTGTTTAGTTTTAGTAGCATCACGACAAATTTACCCATTGAATTCTGTAAATCTATTCTTTATATTTTATTCACTTGTATAATTTCAGAACAAAAATGACCAATTAAAAATATTATGACTTTTATCAAATTTTATGAGATTTTTTCAATTGAATTTAATGAAAATGAGTAAAGAAGAAAGAAGAAAAAGTCATGTTGGAAAATATGATCTGTTTATTAATGAGAAGTAAAAAGGGTATTTATATAAGGAGTTAACCTCTCACAATTACACAATAACCCTAATCTACACCTTATTATATTTAATACCAACTAACCATTCCAATAGTTTTTCAATTAAAAACTAAACATATTTTTCTAAACTAATTTGATTCATTCAGTCAAATTATTATTATTATTTTATGGTATTTAAATACTCCCACTTTTAACATTAGTTGGAATTTGACTCAAATAACATAATATTTTTAACTATTCAATTCTGAGTTTTATTCTCAGTTAGTATCAAAAAATTTATTTCCTCCCTATTTTCTCTTTAAAGCTGATAATTAAAATTCCTTTGATTAAAAAAAAAAATCATTTTTATTTAAAGTCTAAATATTTCTAACAATTTAAATAAATTAATTCGTCAATTATTTTAGAAACAAATCACATTACCATCATATCAAATTAAACAAAAATTCATAATTTTAAAACAACTGGATCTCACGCTACATAGAGGCGCGTATGAGTGTGGTGTGGTCCGTTGCTTGCATGGTTGTATATTGACAAACACGTTTTGGGCATGGGCATTTAAGTAATTTCAAGAAGAAGAGTAACGTCTAGCGCAAATATAAATCCCTATGACACTCTCAAACCCAATGGCTCTCAAACGAAAATGGAGGGACCACCATACACTGAAGATGACTCAACTACTACCATCACCACCAACACCACCGCCGCCGATGAAATTCACAGCAAATCCAGCTCTCGAAACAGCGGCACGCGGCATCCGGTTTATCGGGGAGTACGAAAACGACGGTGGGGCAAGTGGGTATCCGAAATCAGAGAGCCGCGCAAGAAGTCGCGCATTTGGCTCGGCTCTTTCCCGGTGCCGGAAATGGCAGCCAAAGCTTACGACGTTGCGGCGTATTGCTTGAAGGGACGAAAAGCGCAGCTCAATTTCCCCGAAGAGGTCGAGGATCTTCCTCGACCGTCCACGTGTACGCCCAGAGACATTCAAGCGGCAGCTGCAAAAGCGGCTCACTCCGTCATATTATCCAAAAAAAGTGACGTCGTATCGGGAGACGGCGATGGGGATGACTTTTGGAGAGAAATTGAGTTGCCGGAATTGATGAACGGAGGATATTACCGGAATTCATGTGGGTGGTCGTTTTCTGGCGTGGCGTCGTGGCTGGATGGGGATAATAATCAGCCGAACTACTCAATGGCTTGCCTGTAGCAAAAATTAATGTATAACGTACGCCAGTCTGTGTGGACGGTTGGTATATATGCATGTAAATTAATTAATCTTCATTTCATATATATGATTCACCCAACTGCGTTTATAAAAAAAAATTCATATTATTTATATATACTAGCGTAAGAAGATTGGTATTTTAACCAGAAAAAAAAAACATTTAAATTCAAAGCATATTGTAGATTTAACAATGCCATTTACTTTTGTATTATATATATATATATATATCTTTGTATCTTTATATTGTTTAATTTATGAATTTTGCTATTCTTTTTATCCCCTTTTCAAAGTTTTACGTGACAATCACTCAAGAATCATTTATATGTATGTGTATGTATATATATATATGTGTGTATGTTAAAGCTTTGGATATTTCTTTTTCCTAAATGATTTATTGAGGGGAGAAATTTCTTTTTTGTTTTTTCACTTCTCATTCATAATTTGTTCAATAATTTAATTTTCACCAACTTATAATTGGAGAGAATCAGGGTTAATTTAGTCCTTCCACAGTGTATACATTAATTAATTGAATATTTATAGTTCCATCAGTTGTCATTTAATTTTTTTTCCCAAACTTAATTGCCAAAGCATATTAATTAATAAAATAAAAATTAAATAAAACTAGTGACATTGGAGTAATGGAGGTGATTTGACTTGGTTGGCCCATCAATCAAAGTCTATGAGGCAGCACATAAATTAGGAGGTTATTGGTGAGAAGTTAGAATTAATTAATTAAGTAATGATGGTGTTAAATCGGTTAATCTTGCATTAATCCATCATTTTCCATGCATTATTAAATTCTAGTTATAAAAAAAAAAAAAAAAAAACACGCAAGTTCTGGTCCTCGCAAAATTAATTAATTACACGGAAAGCCCATAATTTTACGATATTGATGGTTTTAGAATGATTAGGACCAGTCCGCTCGAAATGTCTGGTCGGTAATAATGGCACGTGATACGGGGGAAGGACAGTGAATTTTTATTAATTAAAAATTTATTAAAATCAATTTAGTTATTAAACTATAAATTATGATATCATCAAATTTTAAATTTTTTCTACAAATTATTATTTCTTTATAACATTATTCTTCCACAATAAATATATTTATAAATTTCAACTCAAATTATAATTAAAATGAACCTTAAAATAATAAAAGAGAATAAGATAAAAACACTTTTTGTTTATATGTTAAAAAGGAAGCAACAATGATAGGGAATAACTAAATCATGTGTTGCACATTTTGATATCGAGGAATCTTATTAATTATTAAATACAACTTAATACACATATTTATTTATAATTAAATAAACATATATTAATGGAAACTGATTTTTTTTTTATAAATTTATTTATTTATTTTTCACACACATAAAAGTATGTAATGATTTTACTTGATTTAATTAAAAGAAGACTAAACCCACTTTGGTTAGTTCAATTTGGAACTGAAACCACACAAAAAACTATATAGTTACATGTATAATTTGAATGAGTGAGGTGAAAAATACAAGCTTATTCATTTTATGAAATTTTTACAAAAATAAAAAGAAATCATACGTTTAAAGTATGAACAAATAACTAATAACAAAAAACCAAACAATTCGAAAACCCACTTTAGCAAATATAAACTATATATATATATATATATAAATATTGATAGCAGGCAGAGAAATAAAGCTTGATGGAAGCCTGCCACCGGCTATATTTAATCCAATTTAGACGACATTCATTTTTAAAATGAGAATATATTAATTTAATATTCTTTGAAGCAGAACAAACCAACAACTAAATGTTTACTTCTCATCATATCATAACTTGATACCCAAGAAACTAAAACCACCCATGATGAACACATCATCAAATATGGATTCATTCATATTTGTGAAAAAATTATTATTTAATTTATATTTTTTTATTATAAGAAATTATAAATATAATTAAGTTGTATTTTCTTGTATGTTTTCATTTAATTTTTTTTATATTTTTATCACAAGTCATTTTTACTTCTATATTTTTAGTCACATAAAATAATTTTTATATTATTTTTATTTAATTATAGAAATTATATCATGGGTATAGCACAAAATATGAATCTAATTTTATATTATTTTTAATGCAATTATAAAACTTATATTATGTAATCTAATTTTTACATAATTCCCTCCACCATGGTTGGCCACCCTACATTTTTTATTTAGACAACTATATCCTCCATAAATATAAATATATATCGTCAATTTCTTTTTAATTAGCAGCTTCTGTTAGTGTTATGCCAGGTAATGGTAAATAACTTAGACACGTAATATAAATGTAATGGTACATTAACAATTTCTTTGAGTCGGATAGAATGAACCCTAAATTGCTTGATGGAAATAAAATTAAGCATCATCAAATTAGGTCTAACAAATAGATACACTATTAAATGGTGTACTTGGTTTCAAACCGGGTCCAACTAGGTATACTCGAGGTCATAATAGAATAAACTCAATTTCCTTTTTTAATTATTGATAAAAATATACATTTTACGTTTTATACCCATTTCAAAATAAATTCTCAAACATTCTAATTAATTACTAATTGAAATCACAATGGATTTCAAGTTTTTTTTGCCGACAGACATGGATACCAATTTTAGATGGCCGCACTGGAACCTTTCTGAATGGATCTTTTACGTGCTAACGAAATTGACCCCCGTATGCTATATTTACATATCTCAGACTGTATGAACCAGAAAGTTTACAAATTTGGTGATTGATGAAAAAAGAAAACGTAGTTAAGAATTCTGTCGCTAAAATTGCAATTGTGAAGTGCATAGAGGTTGAAAACTTGAATCCAGGAACATATGGATGGACCCACAAGTACAGCGTCGTTAATTCAAAGCCGTAGGTATCAGTACCAGACTATTATGTAGCTACTGAATGCGATGCATCACTCATGTTTTTTAACACGTGTATACAATACGTACATAAATTATATACGTATTAAATGTGTGTGTATATATATATATATATTTCATCTTTCTGAGCTTTCAAGTTTCAACATATAATAAAGCTAAAGCGCCGGGACCCTGCCTCTCCACTTGCCTTTCCGATCCTCACAACACCTGTTAACTTTTTTTTTTTTTTTTTTTGGGTATGATAAATTCAATCATTGTAATAATTAAATATTAACAACAAAATAAATAATTTGATAATAAAAAATTAACACAATCAATCTCTTAATTAAACAGAAACGAAAGATCCAGTCCGATTGAAATAGACAATTTTGTACACATACATACATATATATATATATATATATATATATATATACACACACACACACACACTCTTTCTAAGCTTTGAATCTCTAAAGTGCTGGGGACCCTGCATGTCCACTTGCCTTGTCCATTCTCCACAAGACGTGCTGATTTTCAACATACAAGCAGCATCAAATCCCCTACACAACAGGCACCAGCCACCCGTTCCAACCTGTAAATTAATTAAGTTATTAGTTACCTAATTTTAAAAAAAAATAAATTTGTATATTTATTAATTAAATAATATATATATATCAATTATAATATAGTAACAAAATTTTAAATAAATACATCTATAAAAATAAAATTTATTTTGAATTTACTTATGATATCTCGCAGAGGAAAAACATATCACTTGTTTAATTAAGCAGTAAATTATTACTATCACCCATTTAAATAAATCCATTTTTTAATATGAAAAAATTTATAAGTATTATTGAACTAGTCCTTCCTGGTGGAATGTGTTACTGTTTTTCTCAACGTAGCATGTGTTTGGGAAGTGCGGCAAGCAATCATCAAGTAAGAACACGTTAATTATTAGGGACAGTTTTACTGTGTGCCCGTGTAGACAGTTGAAAATTAATAGTCATGTTTGAAGAAAAGCCAAGGCTACCTGCTGCATTCCCTTTACTCGCTCATTACAAGTTTAAGTTTATATCTTTTGATTCTAAGAGTAACATAAGACAATTGAGTCAAATCACTAATTATTATAAAACCTATTTTGTAAAACTTGGCCACGTTTCCAAGTTTTTATCTGTTAGTTGCTATTATTTTGTTGACTATTTAACTAATAGTTGTTGCTACTTTCTTGCCAATTTTATGATTTTTTTTTTTTTTTTTTGTTGGACTAAACCTATAAAAGACAGTAAGCATTCTGAATAAACATGCAGTGGTTCAAGTAATTATCCTTTCTTTATAACACTGGTATCAAAGCCATTTAATGAAACGATAAGAAAAGAGCGTGAGAGGGAGAGAAGACTGAAACATGTGGAGTGAGAGGGTGAGAAGAGTGAAACACGTGTCAAAAGTGAGTGCCCACACATAAAAAAGAGTAGTAGCTTTCTCTTTCTTCTACTTGTTTACTCTTTTATTTTTTCCTTCACACCCATGGCTTCAGATACTAATTTTGTACAGTCTGCAATCCCTAAATTTGATGATCACTATGACCATTGGAGTATACTGATGGAAA